AGTACATAATAGGAGATCTCCTATTATGTACTATTGATATATATATTTATTTATGATCTCAGATATGCAACAGCATATTCCAAGACGCAACAATACTGCTGATTGAATGATGTAGTAACAGAAAATATATAATTACGCACGTATTCGTATAATCTAATATATGTCTTACAAACTAACCCTAGAGAACCCACGATTATATAAAGACTAAACTCTCCATACTGAAAGACCAAAATCTTTGAAAATAGATACAACTGCCAAATAATCATTAGAATAATCTCATGATCAATCTTCCAAAGCATCTCAATTCAAGTGGCAGATAAAATCTCGAAGTAGAAACGGAAAGGTTATATATGCATTTTATATATGTTCCTTTCAGTGATTAAATATATAAACTAGTATTCATGAGTATTAAAAATAGCCTCTACTTTTTCTCAATTTGCTTTAAAAAATAGTGATATCCTTAGCATTACCAAAGCGTGACACCTTATACCCATTGGTCCTGCTCGATTGAAGTTTTCTAACTTAAAAGGACATGGTAAACAATCCTTGCAATAAAAATAATGATGACGAGCTTTGGGAACACCTTTGCAGCACTCAACACGTTATCATAAGCACCACTCACTGTTCGTTTCGACTGTCAACCTAATGACTGTCATGTCACCCCAGCAATCTCACAGGTATATCTTAGCGACGTCCGAACATCAACGCCGTGGTAGAGCAAGGAATCTAGGAAAATCTGAGCTGGCTGAAAAACTCTGCAAAAATTCACCTATCAAACATCGCTACGCAAGTATAACGGTACAACACCCAGATGGAATTGTATAGCGAGTCTAAATATATTTATATCAGTTTCGGATTAAATATTTCTTAGAAATAATCATAGATCGCACTGACCATCTTTGAAATATCTGTCACAAAACAGTCATACGATTTTGTGTGTAAAAAATTTACACCAATACGTTGGACGGATGACAAGGTGGATGCCAGGAATAGCACTAGCTATATGGCTGAACTAGCTCAGGCAAGGTAAATACAGACATCTCATGAAATGAATTCGTGGGCATCACCTCACCAACAACAATTGATGCGAGCTGATATGTGTATATGTATACGTATATGAACGTAATATATACATACGTAAGTGTGCACTTAGGCAACGCAGATAAGTACAGGGAGTGGGTAAAGCTATAAAGCAAGAGACCATGAATGAAATGAATATGCACAGAGCAGTGAAGAGATATCCATGAAGGAATAATATGGGATTCACCATAAATGTGGCAATTCGGAGAAAACTATGGCATGCTTGACTGAGTACACGGCCGCATATTCTAATATTTTAGACGTGCAGCAGACATCAGGTCAATCACATTCCCGATAAAGATTAATGGAATCAAGATCAATCGGGCGGGTACTCCAACAAGCTTTGACACAGGTTGTCACCGAGTAGCTTATCCAAGAGCTGATCAGCGAAGCAACTGTCATTGCAGAGGTCGTCGACCAGAAGAGAGAGAGTGTCAGCCGACGTGTTGCTGGAGGGCTCTGTGCCAAAAAACATTCCTGTTGCGCTGATCGGCGGAAGGGATATGGCATGGCTGGCAGCTCTCGATGGAGGACTGGAACTCAGGCCTCGCATTGCCTTCTCCTCCACGTTATGCGTGACCCTCAACGGCATCGATGAGCTCTGCACTATCGGGTCTAAGAAGCTGAGTATGGGCTTGGAGTTTTCCTCTGGGGAGCGAGGCACAAACCCACCAGTGATTTTCCTCGCATTCGTGTCAATCGATGGTAGGACATTCCTCAAATTCCATGGCGGTGACCTGTCCACGATCGGTGACAGAGTACTTGCTGGGATCGAGGGCAGGATGGGCAGGTCAATCTTCGACTCCACATCTGCAGTAGTATGTACGTCCATATCTTCATCCGAGTCGTTACTCGCATTACTTTGGTAGCCAGAGGAGAATGAATTCCCCGACTGTGGGCTGTCCACTGATATCCCTCCCTGTGAATGCACTTTGTGATCACAACCCACAATAGGATTCAGTTCGTGCGTGCCCTCCGTAGGCAACACGCTTTGGATGTAAGAACATTTGTGAGTCGTTAGATTAGACTGCTGCAGCAGGGGAGTGGATTCGACATCAGCTCGAGTAACAGTCCCTGTTGCAAACGATCCTTTCGCACCAGGGCATCTTTCAGGCGCCTGGCCCTTGCTATGCAGTGTGTTACCTCTGCTATACTGCTCAAAGTGACAGCCTTTCCGTTGCAAGTACAGGTTCGCACTACGCGATCTCAAATGACCTAGCCTTGCCTGCCGTTTTGTCACGTGCGCCATGGACTGGGTGCGTGTAGAATGTACATCGTCGAATACCTTATCATGGCCACCAGCCTTGCAAGCCACAAGGCTGATGTCGGTCGACTTCGAGGTCGTGGTGATGCAGTCAGGCCACTGCACTCCTGGAGTGCTAGTGCCATCTGACACGGCCACGCTTGCACTGCCAGGGGAAGAGCAAGCCTTTACTGGCGATGTAACTTTAATCGATTTGGCCCAACATTTCCTCTTCTGTGGCCCAAACAGAGGAGGGCAGTTTGCTGCCGTCGAAAAAGCCCCGATGTCTTTGTGGGTAGAGGTGGCGCCACTGCCCGCATTGGTGGTCTGCCACTGCGCAGTATGACTCTGCTTAGGGGGATGTATCGCTGTAGCGACTGTTGTCGTGTCGGTCCCTAAAGAACCGTGCTCAGAGCTTGCATCGTTCAGCAGGCCTCTGGAACCACGTTCAGTCGGAGACTGCATGAATGGCGTCATTGATTGTTCGGCTTCGCTCTCACTATAGAAACATAAACACTTGGGTGAATTCTCCGATGAGATAGTACTCACTTAGTCTCTCACTTAAAGCAAGGATTTCAAAAATAATCTCCGGCCAGACTGGTGTTACCGATCCCCTTTTACGATACTTGTCGTTACTGCTTAAGTAAACGCAACTGTCTAGAGTAATGCTAACATGTCTTAGAACATTTGTATTTAGCTATATTCAGCAGTTTTTTTCAGATTGTGCTTTTTTAAGCAATGAATTTGAAATCAATCCTATAAATCTGGAACATTCTTAATCATTGGCAACCGTTATCCAATACTAAGAACGATATATAGCAAGAGAATCATTTTCATAAGTATATGAGCTTTAGTGAACCAACTCGGTTAAGAAAAACTACATACACTGATATCATAAAATCAACATAAAATCTGAATAACATCTTTACCTAAGGATAAAGTTCTGACACATGATGTACTGTGGTTGGTGGTTTGTGTTGAAGATTATTGAGGCACGTGTCTTCATCCATATCCATGCATCTGTCTTCCCTAGGAATCTATAGCATTCGCTGACAGCTTTACCAGTCTTTAGCACTAATATAATATAAAACTTTCTTTGCTCCACAATATCATCATTCGGCCAATGTTGATAATTTTTTTGCATAAAACAAGTTTTAGTAACTTGCAATACCTATGTCTCATAAAATTGGTTTCATGAAGCAGTGTGAATTTTCAAAATGGCTGGGATGTTTTCTATGAAAGCAGGATAATTCAGTGTAATATTGCCTAGTATTTCGCTACAAAAATTCATTCGCGTTACTCACAACTATCATGGCACTTCTTTAGTTTATGAACATCTAATGGTGAATGGAACTGGAAAAGTGTCGTTCCAATCAACTCCATTGGCTCATAACCAATAAGCATCATAACCCTGCAAAAGATGAACACTGAAGCCTTGACCAATTGCATTACCCTGAAAATCAATCTCAAGTGAAACTGAAAGTAGAAGTCGGACACGCGATCCTTATCGCTAGTTACCAAACGCAAGGACATAAACGATCCTGACACAGTCGTCAATCTGAACTGGTATTCATTTACCTGGAGTCCAACTCCAAGAAGGCGCACTCTAGATTGTGACGACTCATGAACATGTTTCCGGTCACAAACGGCTGCTCAATGAAAGGGCCAACGTCCACGATACGACAAAGACAGCTCAAGCCTTCTACCGAGTGTGCACCAGCTGCATCATTCTTTACTCGCAGATGCCCATGAACATGCACGTGCTGAGGAAAGTAGGGAACAATCATTAGTGTTGATATTATATTACCAGAGATAGAAAATTGTTTACAGGTTTTCTATTACACTGAACCCATCAGCTATCATGGGAGTTACCACGTTGCTAGAAAATACAGCGATGTACCATAAATGGTAAACACAACATTCAATGGGAAACATCAGGTGAAGGAAGCAAGGGTGCAGTGATAAACCTTTACAGCATTTACATAGCAAGTTTCAATTTGGCATTTTCTGATGTTCTAGCAACAACACTAGCTAGTAGGGAAGCATAATATTTAATAAAAGTTTTATAAAGTTGTCTAATTAAACCTAGTAAATTAAATTGCACTGATGCATCTCACTATGTGCTAACATATTTACCTTACCCTGTTCCATTGTCCAGATGCATACACGTTCGTTGCACAAATCTTTCTTATTTTCACTACTATTTCTAGCTTTTCTATCCCTACTACTATTTAGTTGCCACTTTGTTATTATGACAAAGGGACAAGTAAGTCAAAAGTACGAGTGTATGCAGCCTGGCAGAAATAAAGGCAAATTGATGTGCGAGTGGATTTTCCCAGCATCAGAAGGCTGCTATAACCTATACTGTCTGCCATCTATTCATCTCACTGTCTGTCATACCATCCTATTCATATCTAAACAATGCAATATCAGACTGACATGTCTGGCCATAAAATGCTCATTTTCAAACATGGCAATCACAAGCCAAATCTTGGTAAATCCGTGAATAGGCAAATCCTATGCCACAACTGTAGAAATGATATACAAATAGTAAACTACAAATATGCAAATTCAACAGGAGGGGTATCATTATACTCTCAGCTTTACATCACAGCTAATGACAAAGCAGTACTGCCTTTGATGCCTATTATGATACAGTTACCTTTAGTGCGAAAAGCACGCCGTAGTGAGACCTAATAGATGCCTTGAAACACGAGACAACTTACATGCCATTATGAGATTCCAGACACAGATAAACACTCACCCATACTATATGTCACATGTACTTCATTGCTCTCACACTCACCACACGATGCACCACAAGTATGAATTGATCACGCAATACATCCAGGGGCGGATCCAGGGGGGGGGTGCAGGGGGTGCGCACCCCCCCCTAAAAATTTTGAGTGCCCTTTTTTCTGGCCCATGGAAAATTTTTTTCTCCAATTAAAAAAAAAATAAATATAGATTTTAAGCGAGAAAAAATACCTGAAAATAAGTTGATGTTTTCCGAGGAGTTTTTTAGGGGGGGCACGGTGGGGCCGGACCGACTTGTTTTCTTGCTGGCTGCGACAGATCGCCCGGACAGGCTTGCCCCGCCACGTCGTTGATTGCTTTGTTATAGAACTGCGTACCCTCTGGGTATTAAGTTAATAACCCCATCTAATTTTTGCTTCAATAATTTTCTTCTGATATAGTTTTCGATGTTATCTTTGCATTTTCTTTACTTAAAAACGTACTTTAGTAGTACTATACTATTCTTATTTCTTCTGGCAAGAGCCACTCATTTTGGGTCTACCTTTTGCGTAAAAGTAAGTACTCTGGCACAGTGGGCGTTGTACGCGGGTGGGGGCCCGTCCAGGAGCCCCCACTTGCTCGCGCAAGAAGAGGCATTCTGAGGGGTGTCTAATTTCAAAATATCGGTGGATGTGGCCCCTGACCCCTTCGGCAGTGCTCATAGTTGGGGTTACGGTTGGAACCCCTCCCTTGGTACAAATTCTGTACACACCCCTTGTGGCATAGAGTATACTGCAGTATGTTTTTAAGCTAAGATATATATAGTCATTTGAAATTCAAGTTGAAGTTCAAGTTATAGTTAATGTGAAATGGAAAGCATATAAATTAGCTCATGTAATGATTTTATTTCTTGTCAATAAAGTGTGTTGTAATCCATATCGCCGAAATTTGATTCTCACGGGGTACTATATTTTGTCGCTCTGTATGGCAGTTAATTTTCAAGCGCAAGTTGATGATGCCATGGTTTTTGTGGCTTTGTTGGATTGCCTTGTACTGTAATTGTCTGTTTCATTGCATATGGACAAGACTTGAAGTACAAAATTGCGCTCTCATATGCTCTGAAAATGCAATAAAATGGAGTCTGATTTTTTTTAAAAAATTTCCTGGAATGGCCTCCCGACCCCCCGGTTCGTTTCGCACCTGCGGTCCTTGCGCACGAAGGGCGGCACAGCCGCCGCTTCAGTTGCCCCTAACAAAATCTCAAAGTGCCCTTTCCCACCTGCACCCCCCCCTAGACAAAATCCTGCATCTGCCCCTGACATCATGCATGGATCACACACTCACCACCTAAGGCATCATAGGCGCGCATCAATGTCCCACTCACCGCGTAAGACGATGGCCTGGTGCGATTCGCCTGTTTCTTTCCTAGCGTCTGCATCCTGATGTAGAAGTTACGCACCTGCTTCACGATGCTTGCTAAACAAACGTAAACAATCCAGAACATCAGGCTTGCACTAGTTTGCATTCAGACTTTTCTACACAGCTCTACTCGTGACTACATGCCCAGCTTTCTTAAATACAGTGACTATTATATGTTGATTTGTCACCTACTTCTTTATGTTACTTCAAATCGATCTTGTGAGAAATAATTAGTTTCATGCTTCATGGTAATTCATTCATCAACCCCTACAGCTGTATCACCTCCCATGCTAGACTTTTTCCAGAGTACAACAGAATGACACTGACTTCTTCAGTTTCTCATCTTTCATAACTTTATTACCAGTCAAAACCGCTCAACGATTTGACTTGTTTTCAATTTTCTGGCTTTTTACATTTCACAGCACGAGTGCGTATTGAATGACGTTTTTTTGCCAATTGCAGACTCCCCCCCTGACAGATTTGATAAGGTTAATATGGAAATGCAAAACCATCGCAGCTTAGTCTAATAGCACACTCTAGGAGCCACACAGGGATCTTTTAACTTACTGGGCTGCTGTTCATCAATATTGTGCAAGGTCAGATCAGGGGACATCTGTTTCCACAGCTCAGCGCAATCCGGTGGAAATACAAACTCAGCAACGTTGTGCCCGAGAAGTTCCATCTGAAAATTGTTCCGTTAATACCTCGCATTTAATCACATGAGTGTCCACGAGTCAGAAATAAACAAGTGCTTAACAAGAAATACGTGACATTAGGCATGGCATGGTGGTGAAGATATGGTGCTGAGATATCGAAGAATGAATTGTATGGTGAGATGGAAGACATGGTGGACAACTATATCAAAGATGTAGAATTCAATGACCCGTTACAACCGAAATAAGGCTAGCAGTTGATTTATTAATTACTTGCGTTGGTTATTTCCCACTGTATCTGCTTAACATGTGTAAGTTTCTTTGAACATTACCTCACTGTCCCAGTACCCAAGACAAAGAGATTTTCTGATTTAAATTTACTCTGATGATTGTCTCTAAGCTAATCACATATACCATAACCCAGATCAACGTATATAGGACCTTAGAGCAGAGGTAATAATGAACTGCCTTAGTCATACTGAATGCCTACTTCACATTCAGATAGCAAATTTCTATGACGATGGACAAAAAATCACTCAGAGTATTACCTGGCTCAGGCCGAGAGCTCCTTCTACGTTGTCGGAGATGTAAAGGATGTCTCCTTCTCCATTTGTCATTAGCAGAAAACCCTCAAGCAAATCCAGCAGATCCACACAAGGAGCAGACTCGTTTTCTGTAAAACAGATGAAAATGTTAATGAGGACATATTGCAGTGATTTGCCTGTTTAATCACACATAAGAACCGCCAGTGAACAACAGGTTGCAATGGAACACTCCCCATATGTCTGTTAAAGTTAATTCACAACAATTCTTTATCTACAATTCTTGTAATTAATACAATTTATGTGTGCGTGCATGGTGACCACTGACGTCTAATAACTTTTCTGATACCAGTAAAACATGCAAAAGCGGCAATTAGAACATGTTAAACTCGTGAATATGCTCACACATGAATGTGCGCAATCAAGCAAACACCTATATGCATGCGTAATAATAGCGATCATTTAATGACAGCTAATCAATGTAATATACACTCCTAACCAAAGGCTAGGAGGAAGGTTTCATACAACCAGCTGTGCAGGCATAGCTACTGTTATATGATTACAAAATACAAAGAAAATCTAATATCAGTGGACCACTTTTATTGTAAATAAGATGTCCAATTGAGGGCTATTTATGAATTGCAAATATAAGTTAAAAATAGATATCCCTAAACCTTTGTAAAGAATACACTTACCCAATTCTTCACAGCTTTCTGGTAAAGCAGCCACCCCACTGCTATTTCCTAAAAAAATATTACACAACTAGAAACGTGAATATGTGAGGCACGATAGAAACAAAAAACTCACACGCCTAGATTTGACTGTGAAATTGTACTGTAAGATTTGACTGTGAATATTGAACATAACTCAATAACTTCAACCCCAAATGTTGTGCAGTGCATTTAATTATGTGTAAGATCTTTTGCAGTTGTCATATTCATATAACAGAGTCCCAGCAAACACGGAACATTCTCGTAACATTCGCTGGAGGTTCTAGTTTGATTACATTAGCCAAAAATATTCTAAGAACATTCCCATATCGTTATGCATTCATTGGTTTTACTTGGTGAGAGAGTCATGTTTTTGGAATGTTCGGAAAACGTTAACTGTCTTTTGATGGGTTAGAAACTCCTAATTGCCGTTTTTGTGATGTTGCAAACTATAGCACAGGTATCAAATGTATTTTTGTTTATGATTCATCAGATCATATGGTTAGTTTTGGAAGATTTTGTGATGAGCTAG